ATCCAGTCTTGCCTTTGATTCTGAGATTTTTTTTCTCTTGTTTTGATTAGTTTGGCTCATCCTAACTATTAATCTTTTCTTATCTGTAGGAGTGGGAGTAAGGATTTCCTTCTAACCATTTTGCTCTGATGCTTAGTGTCAGGGGGGGAAAAAATCACTTTACCTTTTCTTAGTTTCTCCTTCTGTGAAATGATGTGAGTTATCTTGCAAAGATGTAGTCATGAATTTTATAAAAAGATATTCGAATGCTAAAATGTGCACAGGTGAAGTATCAATCTTGGTTCATTGAGTGATGAAAATGTTTTAACCTTTATTGACTTACTAAATATAATTTGTTGTTGTTTTTGCTTACTCTTGAAGTGTAGGGATAGATGCATACTTAATTGTTCGTCAACTTTGTTAGCTAGCTTTTATAATCCTTGTGATACCAACTATATCTATTTACTTACTTCTCTCTATATCACCTTAATAAATAAAACACATTCTGGAACTGTGTATAATTGTATGAACTGGGATCTAGCAAACATAGGCCATTTATAGATGTGCTACAGGAGGCATGGAGTGGCGAGGGGGGCACTTTAATTACCACAGTTTTGCATCACATGTATCAGCATCCTGATGGTGAAAAACAGCAGCGGGGTGCTTTGAAATAAAACTTGTCCAACGAGCTTTAGTTTAAAGTGCCCCACCTCCATTTTTCAGTGGGGGGGACGCTGATACACATGACACTGGAATCTGCTGAAGTGTGGTCACATGACTTGACTCGATTAATTATAGCATGTCAGAACAGCCTCCCTGCACACATATAGGAGCCCATAGATTTTAGTTTCTACCAGACAAGGTTCCTTGGGTGAATTTGATATCTTTTATTAGACCAACCCAAATAGTTGGAGAATAAATATTAAGCAAGCTTCCGGGTTCAAAAATCCTTCGTCAAACTAAGGAAGTTTCAGCAGTCGGTGTGTGCTCTTCCTGAATGGAATGAAAAGTAAAGAAGCCAGGGGCTGGGCTGGGGAGTCAGTTGCCAGGCAGATTGTAATGTATCAAAAATCCAATGTCTATGTTTAGTCCCTGATCTCTAGTATCCAGCAGGTTGATGAAATGGAGCTCATAGGCTCGTCTCTGGGATGTGTTGTGTAAGTTTCCCTTGAGGATCAGGACTGAGAGATTGGAGAGAGAGTGGCCCTCCTGTGAGAAATGTGCACCCACAGGTAATTGGGTGTTTCTGTCTTTGATGGATTTCCGGTGTGCATTCATTCTGGTGCGCAGTTGTTGTTTGGTCTCTCCTACATATTTTCCATCAGGGCATTTGGTGCATTGGATGAGGTATATTAAATTCCTGGAGGTGCAGCTGTAAGATCCTGGGATGCTGATGGCTCTGTTGTGGGGTGTAGTAATAGTGGGGGTGGTGGAGATGTGGGGGCAGGTTTTGCATTTCTTGTCATGGCACGGTCTGGATCCTTTTGGTGTGTTCTGAGCTTGAGGAAGTTTGCTTCTGGTGATGAGGTTGGCGAGGTTCGGTGCTTGTCTGAAGGCTAGGATAGGTGGCTCTGGGAAGATCTTTTTAAGAATAGGGTCTTTTTCTAATATGGGTTGCAATTTTTTGAGGATTTTCCATACAGGTTCAAGGGAGGAGTGATACGTCATAACCAGCGGTGTGCGATTTGTGGGTGTTTTTCTTCTGTACTGCAGCAGTTCTTCACGTGGTATCCAGGTGGCTCTTTCAAACATGC